CGGCTTCAAAGATAAACATCTGGGATCTTGGAAAGTCCCAAGGTCCCAGTACTTCTATCTGTGGTGAGTAGGAGAATACGCTTGTTTGTAAACTGCCTCACCGCATACAAGATGCGTCTCTCCAACTGATTAAACTTCCAAAAGCTCAGTGTAATTGTCATCCCCACTCCTCTTTCTGTCCGTTCTCCTAACCAACATGAAATTGCCCATTCATGCTCTCCTTTTTTCTGTGATCTTCTCTCGCTGCCAATGGAGTGCCATGTCTGGTCTCTCCTTAATGCCAAACCTGCCTAATTTCCTCAACCCTCTTCCAAAACCAAAAAAGTATTGAATATTCTCTTGAATATCAACAATGAAGACTGAATGGGAAATTGATGCCAAGACTTTTCCATCAGTCTGGAAAATCACTCATCCAGCTTTTGGCTTCAGGATACAGGGTCAAACGTTCCCTTGATCAGCTAATGTTAAGAAGATGGCAGTCCTTAAATAGCTCTTGGCTGATATAGTTATGATCCTTCACAATATGGATCAGATAACTCCATTTCCACTTACCATCTGCAACTTCTGTGTTGGCCATCGGACAGAGCTGGAACTGACAATTTGAACTCTATAGAGATTACCTTTTTTGGTCACGTTTCTTTTAGCCTATTCATGTAACAAATTTAAGAAATGGTTATAAGCTCATGAAATCCAATCTTCCTTTTTTCCTGAACTTAGCAGGAGCAGATTGACTGATTACAGCTAAGCAAGTAGCCTACTTGGTTTGAACAATGCTCAGAATTTATTTGCTTGTTTTAAGCATCTTTAAATACTTTGTATCAGCAGAACATTGCACTTGCAGATTTTTCCACATAAATTCAGAGCTTACATCAGTTTTGGCAAATTTCCTGAGCAGGTGGAAAATGTGCTGAATAACTTGGCATGTCGGTGAACAGTTGATGACTCAGAAACATGCTTGAGGTGTTTCATTGTGACACACTCGTTTTATATATGGTGGGCTATTAGTGCTGGGGAATGGAAGTTGGGTCCAATTTTAGTCAGCACCCAATACCCCACTCCGAATATTGCGCACAGTTCTGGTCATCACACTACCAGAAGGATGTGGATACTTTGGAGAGAAAAGGTTTACCACAGTGTTGCCTGGTACGGGGGATTTTAGCAATGAAGAAAGGTCGGTTAGACTGGGTTTGTTTTCATTGGAATGCAGGAGGTTGAGGGTTGAGCTGAAAGAAGTTTATAGGATTGTGAATGGCATGGATAGAGTGGAAAGTATGAGGCTTTTTTCCCAGGGTGGGGGTCAGTCACTAGGGGATGCAGTCAAGCTATGTTCAATGAACTGAAATCACCTTTAGGGGCAAAGTGTTAATCTGGGTACAGTGTTTGTTACCCATCCATATTTGCCCAGAGGGCAATTAATTTGATTCGATTGATTGTCATGAATACAGTGAAAAGCTTTGTTTATGAGCAGTACAGGCAGGCCATAGTAAGCATTTACATATAGACCATAGGGTAAAAAAAAAACTTAGACAGAGTCTTCCAGATTGCTGATGTACAGCCAAGACCCCACTGCAATGCTTTTGGAATGTGTGGAGCTACTTGTTTCGTAGATTTTGGCCTTGCCTGTGCTTTACAGTCTGACAGACGCCCAGCTAATTGAAAGGATTTGAAAAATAAGTGGATAAGGGATTGAAACATTAAGTGGATTATGCAAACCTAAAATGGAAGCTCCACGCTGCCACATTAAGCTGCCGTTTGATCTAATTCAAAAGCAATTCTATGTCTCCTTTTCCCATTAATTCTCCCGGAACGATTGGGCTAACAACATCAATTTGCTGAAGCAAAGAAAAAAAAATTTCAAAATTCTGAAACTGAATATTTTGAGGGAGACATGCTTAGCCGTGTTTTTGTTTTAAAAATCTCTCCGATACAGATTGGAGAATCTGCTCGAAGTGAAACCATGGTTTATGACATTTAAAATAGAGCTTAGAGGGGCTTCACAGTATCCCTTTTAACACTGGCATCTGAACCTGAATTCAATCCAAAATAAAAGCCTGCTCTTTCTGTCAACTGTTTCTGGATCCTATCTGACTCTAGTGTTGTCACCGTCTGCTCCAGTTGCTACTCATTATGGATCCACAGTAAAAGGTTGTCTTAATCTGGCACTGAAATATTGTGTAAAGGCAATAATAAGACAGTCTCCAAGTTACGACAGCATTGGTACAGCTTACATGTCTTTTTTTTTATCCCTGGAGTAGATGAGAAAGAAAGTGAGTCTATTGCACTTGACCTGCCCGGAGTCTTTTTGATGCTGATAAAAAGAACAAAGAAAAATACAGCACAGAAACAGGCCTTTTGGCCCTCCAAGCCTATCTATATCAACAGAGCTGAAGTTGAGAGGGTGGAGATCATCAAGTTCCTAGGAGTAATCGACAACCTGTCCTGGGCTTGCCACGTAGATGCGACAGTCAAGAAGGCACAACAATGCCTCTCCTTTCTCAGGCGGCTCAGGAAGTGTGGCATGTCCATAAAGACCTTCACCAGCTTTTACACATGCACCATCGAAAACATACTGTCCATTTGCATAACAGCCTGGTATAGTAAATGCTCTGCCCAGGACTGTACGAAACTACAGAAGGTGGTGTGCATTACGGAAGCCAATGTTCCATCCACGGACTCCATTTACATGGCTCGCTGCCACAGAAAGGCTGCCAACATCATCAAAGACCTATCGCGCCCATGTTCTCCTACAACTACATTTGCCAGGCAGAAGATACAGAATCTTGAACTCACGCATCAACATGTTCAGAAACAGCTTCTTCCTGGCTGTTATTAGACTGATAAATGGACTCTCTAAGTTAAAATAATGTTGATCATGCTAATGGTGCTCTTGCCTAGTGCACCCCTTGTACGATGTAACCTGTATGCCTCTAATATTTTTTTAAACCAATGATCTGTATGGCCTTGCTTACTTTGATCTGCCTGTACTGCTCGTAAGCAAATCTTTTCACTGTACTTAGGTACACATGACAATAAATCAAATCAAATTAATTGCCCTTTGGGCGATTATGAATGGTAACAAACACTGGACCAGCCAGCGGTGTCCAAATCTCATGAATGAATTTTTAGAACTCCTAGCATCAAAATGTATCAACCTTACCAAAGAAGCAACAGTACTAAAGAGGCAATTGGTGACAGGAACACACCAGTCACATCTGATTTATATAACATCTGGGTCATAGCCAGTATATACTTACTGGTTACATTGCAGCGGATAAAACGCAGACTTCTTTGCACATTAATATTAATAGTCTTCCTGCCCTAACAGCACTGTGGGTAAACATGCACCACATAGACTGCAGTGTTTCAAGAAGGTGACTCATCACCAACTTCTCAAGGACACCTAGGTTGGGTATAAATGCTCACCTGGCCAAGCACGCCTATGTCCCTTGAAAAGATTTCTAAAAATTGTTACTGGTCATTACATTGTGAACTCCTCATATTTCTGGATATGTTTATATCTTTTACTAAAATCTGCAAACAAAAATTCTGCAGAAGGAAATATTTTTAATGCTGGAATCATTCAATTCTGCATATTGAAGAGGTCATTCACATTTTAATATCTTGCCATATTTAAACAGTACTGAAAAGTTTCAAGATGATGCTATTTCCATCAACACTGCTGAGAAACATTGGTCTCTCATTTATTTTTTTCATATTGTCAAGGAGCCAGGACTTTGAAGTCAGTAATATCTGCTCACAGAGTTGCTTTATGCCTACTTTAATAAAGCAGATTTAAATTCTTCTCATGTGAGTTACAATGTCTCATGGCAAATTTTATTTCTTGTGATCATTTATGCTTGGTTGGGGATATGAGAATCAGAGGACAGAATTTCCAGTCCTAGTGCAGCATAAGGACTAAAACTCTCTCTATAATATGAAATGATAAACTGAATAGCCTCATTCTGTGCAGTAAATGTTTCCGAGCGGGCTTTAATCTTGAATATTTTTCTTTGAAATTTGGCTCCTAAAATTAACCAAGGACTTGCCAGACTGAGGCATCGTCAATAATATAATGTGTATGATGGGAATAATTTATTGCAGCAATACATAGAATTTTAGAATTACGATTAGAATTAGATTTTATTGTCACATGTACTCGGGTACAGGAGTACAGTGAAAAGTGTGCAAAGTTGCCATTCTCCAGTGCCATCTTGGTTGTGAAACCAGAATTTTAAAAAGAACAACAGCAGAAATATAAGAAAGCCAAAAGATAAGAAAATCTCCCAGATCTCAAAGTCAAAATTTTATCTCCATAAAGGTGTTTGGAACCACCAATGTAGGTGCTCTGGCCTAGCCAAGGCCTGAAGTGTTGGTCATGTTAATCTGAATTTAATCCAAACATCAAAGGATGAGGGCGATCTGATAGAAATTTGCAAAATTTATGAGAGGCATGGATAGAATGGATAGTTCTTTTTGAGTTTATTTCCCTGGGAGACTTAAATTTAAGGCAAAAGGGGGTAAGTTTAAAGGAGATGTGAGGCAGGTATTTTTCTCAGAGGGTGTAAGTGCCTGGAATGCGCTGTCAAAGGAGATGGTGGAGACAGATACAATAGTAACATTTAAGAGACTTCTTGATAGATGTACGAATAGGTAGGGAATAGAGCGATACAGACCAAGTAAAGGCAAAACACTTTTAGTTTAGAAAGGCATCATGTGCCAACACAGACTTGGTAGGGTGAAGGACGTGTTGCTGTGCTATACTGTTCTTTGTTCTTTTTTCGCAGTAATTGGCAGCCATAAAATTTTAAAGGTTACAATGCTGTCTGTGGTGTGTTATGGTACATTTAAATTAAATTCCTGATAAAGGTTAATATGTTCATTTTGCAAAGGACAAACAGAATAACTATGTCTTTGCTACTTTGTTGGCATTAGGTGCTGCACTGCTAAACTTCATGAGCATCCCATTAATGTACCATTTAACCACTGTGTTTCCTTTGCAGTATTGGATTAATGAGTACACATCCACTCTTGGAATCGGGGTTTTTCATTCTGGTATTGAGGTCTATGGAAGAGGTAAGCTTCAAGAAATCTGCACCCACACCACTTTACTTCCCACCATAGCCAAAGGACTCAAATGAATAAACTTCATTGGATTAATTTAGAAAGGTAATCAAAAACAATTTGTCTTACAATATTGGGTTCAAAAGTAATCTTTCTATCTCCAAGTTTCAAAAATCCTAAGATTATAGTAGCAGAATTAATAAGGACTACTATCTGGCCAGTCCCAGAACATATACTTACATATATTAATATACCTTTCATACTCCTCACTAATGGTGCCAAACAAGTATCCATATTCTTCTATTGTTAAATTTTCAACACCATCCATCTCCACTACCTCTTTCCACTATTATGGCCAGTGTATATGAACAGACATTATGATACTGATTGAGAAGCCTAGGCAGAGATCCAAGATGGAGTCTGCAAGACATAAGTTGAAAAGTGGACATGGTGAAATAAATCATAATTTAATCGGTGACACAAGACATGGCTTCCAGAAACTCAGTGATGCTGCATATGTTCCAGGGAGGATATTTCGGGAGTGAGATATTTATGCCATTAACTCATACAAGGATAAGAGATAACAAGGTGGAGAGCTGGATGAACACAGCAGGCCAAGCAGCATCAGAGGAGCAGGAAGGCTGACATTTCAGGCCTAGACCTTTCTTCAGGCCCGAAACGTCAGCCTTCCTGCTCCTCTGATGCTGCTTGGCCTG